AAAGCAAGAGAAATTGCATACAGTATATATATCCTCCAGGCACCCTCTCCCCCCTTCCCCAGGAATCCAGACACGTCAGCTTATACACGTAAGTTGACATCCATGACCATAAAGAGATGTTCCTGTCCCTGTACTCTTGACCATGAAAGGATGTTCCTGTTCCTGTATTCCTTATCTTGGGGTAAGAAGTTCACCAACTCTAAGAGCACTCCTGGCGTCATTCCCGAGCACGGGGCTGTCTTGCAAGGTCTGTGCGTCAGTGTGTCGGGATATTTACAACACACAAGATAAGATAAGCCCCAGCTCTGCCATCCTGTCTCCACTTTGGAACTGACAAGGCCATTCATTAAGCGTCATGTACTGATAAAGGAGAGAGCTTTGTTTATACAGCTGGGTTCTTGGCTCAAGTGCTCAAGTTAATGCATTTTAGCAAATGGAGAAGGAAAAATGGGGATTTTGGGGCCCATTTCAGACTGACTGCACAGTCAGATTTTAGATTTGGGAAACCCATTCCTTCACAAGAAGCGTTTGGGGCCAGAGAAAGACCTTAGAGCCCACGTTTTGCATTTGCAGCATCTCAGACAGGAATTGACTCAGAGAGGTTTTAATATGCCTGAGTCTCTGTTTGCAATCCTTATCCTGGATTCCCTAGACGATAGTTACCATGCTGTGGCAAGCCATCTGGCAACTTTACCTGCGCAGGAACTCACTGCTTCAAAGGATTTGGAGACCCTCCAAAATGAATATGATAGGAGGAACGCAGCGGAACCAGCCTGTGTGCTTCAGGGGGGAGCAGTGTGGGACAGCATTCCAGCCTCCAGGGGGAGCCAAGGTGTTGGCAGCTGTGAAGTGCTGGCACTGTGGAAATGAAGGCCACTTGCAGCGTCTTTGTCCAAAGGCTAAAGGGAAACAAAAGAAAAAGCCTGCAGATGGTTGGAAGCAGGGAGGGGTGAGAAACCCAGGCCTGTGCAAAACAAGACTTTGTTTGCTAGCACTGTTGCTGCAAAGGCCAAAGGCCATTTTATTGTCAATTCTGGAGCCACGAGGCACATCTGTGGAAGTTGACACCTGTTTATTTCCTTTACGCCTCAGGTTGGGGAATCCAACAGGCTGATGGTAAGACTTTGAGAATTGCAGGAGTTGGGACAGTGAAACTGGCAAGTCTGCACACCACCATCAGCAAAGTACTTTTTGTTCCACATTCTGCAGACAATTTGCTCAGCATCCCACAGCTGACTGAGCAAGACTTTGAGATTTTTCTTCAAGAAGCGCATCTGCGTTATTAAGAAGGGCCAAGAGGACATTTTGCATGCTAAGTTTGTAGATGGCTTGTTCTTGCTAAATTATGATGACAAAACTGTTGATGTGTCTAATGTTGAATCTTGTTGTGTTGCACAAACTAACAAAGTTCTTCATTCAGGTTGTATTCACGAACAGCACAGAAGATTTGGTCACATGTCATGGCAGGCACTGGCCAAGATGCCTGGGATGGTTCAGGGTTTAACCACAAAGCCCTGTAAGTTTCACATGAAATGTGTCTCTTGTGCAGAAAACAAAGTGAAGGTTGCTCCCAAAGGCAAGGTCTCTAGCAGACAGGCTTCCAAACCCTATCAGCTAGTCCACGCAGACCTGGTTGGTCCACTTGCGCCCTCTTTGGGTGGAACAAGGTACTTCATGGTTTTAAGTGATTCTTTTTCCAGGTACATTCATGTGTTTATGCTCCAGCAGAAGTCAGAAGCGTTTCCTAGGTTCAAGGCGTTCTGTGCTTGGCTGGAGAATGCTCACAATAGACGCATTGGCTGTTTATTTTCTGATCGAGGCGGTGAATTCACTTCTCAGCAGTTTGAAGCTTTCCTGACTGAGAAGGGAATCCAGCACGACCTCTCAAGTCCCAGATCTCCATGGGAGAATGGACTTTGCAAGTGGACAGGCCAAAATTTGCTGCAAGGCCTAAAAACCTTGTTGCATGATGCCAATCTCCCTGAGAAATATTGGGCAGAGTCTTTGAATACTTTCGTTTATTCATACAACAGGAGATTGTCATCACCTATTGGTTGTACTCCCTATGAGAAGATGTTTGGTAAGAAACCTTGTGTCAAGCACATGAGAATCTTTGGTTCTGACATGTGGGTCCACACCCCACAGAGCAGCAAGCTTGGGAAGCATGGGGCACATGGTTTGTTCATGGGGTACGAAAAAGGTGCATACAGGGTATTCATGACTGACTCTCAGTCCGTTAGGATCGCAAAGAGTGTTGAGTACAATCCTAAGTGGGGGGGGGATGTGGGAATTTTCCTTTTTAACAATCCAATCAAATCACATTAAGTATTCCAAATTATACAAATACATATCATATAGTTCAAACAATCTGCCAAATTATAAATTTTTATAATTTTTAAAATGCATCTGCTAGTCGTACACCACACTGTACAGATGCATTCTAGGCAAGCTGAATTTCATTGCTTGATGTTCAAGACCTGACATAGCTGTAAGCACTAACCTGCTTAGCAGACATGCCAACAATCCTACTGTTCAGGATTGGAAAGCTCTGAAGCGCATAGCCCGCTATTTGAAGGGGACTTTGCACTACAGACTGAGGTTCACTAGTCAGAAGACTGGAGGTCTTGAAATCTTTGCAGATGTTTGCTTTGGAAGTGATACCACAGATGGTACAAGCACTTCTGGAGTATGCTACATGTACAGCCATTGTCTGTTTGACTGGTTGTGCAAAAAGCAGACAACAGTAAACCTAAGTTCCTGTGAAGCAGAACTCAATGCCCTGTCATTTTCACTCATGGATTGTGAATGGTTCAGGACATCAGAGCTTCTGTGAAATGTCCTATACAGGTGTATCAAGACAATAGATCCTGTTTGGCTTTGCTGAACTCAGAGAGTTGCAAGCAAAGAACCAAATACTTGCAGATTAAATCCTTGTGTTTATACCATTCTTGTTGTCTGTCTGTATTCATTTACCACTCCTGTTAGTTATATTACGTAGTTTCCTTATACATTTCCCTTCTTCTTATTTTCATTATCCATCACTGTTCTTAATCTTTCCTGTTATGAGGTCTGTTTCCAATTCTACTGGTTTTACTATTTCATCTTATGTTTCCTGTACACAACATAAATTTTCCCCATTCTTTTTGAAATGTTTCCTCGCCCTGTTGTCGATTTTCCCCTGTTAGTTTGGCTATTTCTGCATATTCCATTACCTTCTGTCGCCATTCTTCTACTGTTGGTAATTGCTGCTGTTTCCAAACCTGGGCTCTGAAGAGCAAGTATAAATGTAAAATGTAATACAATATGTGTATGTGGAGTATCTAATTGAAAAACTAATAAAGATTATTTGAAAAAAAAGGAAAAAAGGAAAAATGGTGGCTCGTATTTTAATTCTGGTGCCCAGACAAATGCCATTGCAGAAGGCCAGCATTTGCCCACTGAAGCCAATTAGTGCAGGAGACTAATGAGTCTTTAGCTGAGGATTATGAGGAGGGTGGTGTGTGTGTGCATGCGTGTCCGTGCGTGTGTGCCCCTGCCTTTCCGTACAGAGCCGGCCAACTGTCCATGCATAAGAATTGCAAACTCCCCCAAACTGCTGCTATTCCCAGGCTCACTTGGGAGGACACTATTCAAACAGCTTCAGCCATGAGAGGTCTGTAAATAGCCTGCCTACCATCTGCTGCAAAAAGATGTCCTTCAGAGAGGGAGAGAAATGTGCAGAGATAGGGATGCGGCCCTGCTCCTGGAAACTTCTTGCACCCAAGGTGTTGACCACCCATATCATGCTCTCATGGCAGGACTCAGCCCTGAACCTGTAATGTAGTGATAAATTGAGCAGAGTCTCTGATCAGGTGCAGAGTGCCTTTCTGCCTACCGCCCTGAATGGTACCCAACCAAAGATGCAGACTTTTTTGAGGAGGGGAGGAAAAGAAAACACGCACAGACAGAGCTATAACTGAATTGAAAACTTTATTGGAATGTCTTATTTGGTAAGATAGTTCACCACTAACCAATGCTCAGAAGGACCTTCTGAGTAAAATGTTGAGAAGGGAGACACTTAAGAGCACTTTTTATTTCAGAAGGAAAAAACACATACAGGCAGAGCCTGGCACTTCCAAACTGTCTTCTCCAACTCTTTCAAACCAGAAGAGACACACAAAAGTAGTCCAAACATTATATGTGGAGCAGAAAATGCTGCAAAGTGTAATCAAAACCCACAGGGAAATATATATGAGAATGCAACTAACAGATAACCAACGCAAACTATAAAAGGAGCACCAGACTTGCTCAACTCATAGCTGCAAGGCCTCGGAGAAAGGTCTCCCAAAATGAAGCCCCAAGGGGGAGAGTGGTTTCAGTGTATCTGAGGCACAACAAACTCGCTCTCATGGTGGCCCATGGGCCACAGAAATCATCCTTGTGGCCAACCTGGCCACTACCTGCAAAGGGACAGACGGGGTGCGGGGGCCTTCCAATGGGTAGCTGTACTGGGCCTTTTTCTCTCCATCTTTTCCCAGCCATCTAGCTAGAGGACCATGCCTGGAGAGCAGGTGGAGAGCTCGGGCAGATGCCTCCTCTCTCACACACCCTGGGAGAAGACTCCTCTCCCGCCCAGTTAGGAAAGCCAACCTCCACCCAAAGCATCCCCTAAACAGCCTCCAAGGGCAGTCCCCACACAGCTTAGCCCCATGGCTTTTAGAGAGCGAGAGCCTGGAACTCAGGAGGAATCACACCAAAATGCAGGCAAGGGTTGGGGTTTGCACCCGCAGCTGCCTGGTGGGGAAACCAGGCGCCCTGGAGCTTCTCAATGGCATGTATGAAAGTCAGAACTGGGAGAGGTCGCCTGTGGGGAGGGGATGACAAGACATTCACCCTTCCCTGTCACCCTACACCCCCCCCCCAATCCCGGGGCCTGACCTATCTGCCACCACCCTTGCACCTCTGCTGCCGTGAGTCTCTTCCCCAGACGAAGGGGGGACAGAGAGCCTTGCTTTGCGCTCTCAAGTCCGCTTGGAGTGGAGCATTTGAATCAGGAGGCTGTTGCAGGGCACGTCCCCGCTCAGGTGCTTGTGGTACAGGTACTCCTCCGCTTGCATGCTCAGGGACCGGACGTCAGCCAGCTGTATCAGAAGCTGGCGGAACTTGTCTGTGGTGTGCGGGTAGTTGCAGAGGGTGTACTCCATCAGGGCTGCGTTGGCCTTTTCCTGGGCTTCCTTCACCACACTTGAATTCTCCACGAATTTCACATCTGCAGCAGGGGGGAGGGGAAATAAGGGGGGGATGCATTGAATGGGGTAACCTCTCTTGAATGGAGGGACTTCCTCCTGGGCACACAGGCCGCAAACATGGAAGGTGTCGCTTGCAAAGCTCGCACAAGCCATCGGCTGATACCTGCAAAACGGCTGAGGTTGATGAAGAGGCTCCCCTGTGAGGAGAGCCTGCAGCGGTCGGGGCTTTTTAGTGTAGAGAAAAGGGGACCGGAGGCGACCTGACGGAAGCATAAACAATTGCATGTGGTGTGGAGAAAGCGGAGTTTCCCCCCCTCCCTCTCGCATGATGACACCAGAACTCGTGGGCATCCAATGAGGCTGAATGTTGGAAGATTCAGGACAGAGAAAAGGAAGTAGTTCTTCAAGCAGCGCAACATTAAACTATGGAACTCCCTCCCACAGCAGGCAATGATGGCCACCAATTTGGAGAGCCTTGATGGAGGTTTGGACAAATCCATGGAGGAGGAGGAGACGAGCCACAATTACTGCGCTCTGCCTCCATGGTCAGAGGCAGCGACGCTTCTGAATACCAGATGCAGGAAACCACAGGAGGGGAGATCTGCTCTTGTGCAAGGATCCTGCTTGCTGGTTTCCCACAAGCATCTAGTCAGCCACTGTGAGAACAGGACTAGATAGCACATTGGCCTGATCCAGCTAATGGCTCTTCCTACCTTCATAAGCTTCATCTGGCCATCTGCCTGGATGAACAGGGTCTGACCTTGCCAGCCTTATGCTTTGCAGATGAGCATCAGGCTGGTAAAGGCTATGCAAGATAAATAAACCATATCTGACAAGCGATCTTCTTCTTACTTTCCGATGTTCCCTAAACAAACCTTCACTTCAAAGCCACTCTGTTGTGTTCCTCTCTAAACACCAGCTGGAGGGATTGGGGCTTAATCTGTTTGGCCTTCCCAGGTGAAAATAGGGCTCAGCTGACATGGAAACCATGATCCAAGGTGCCTCAAGCAGCTCAGCCAAAGAACAAGGGGTAGGAGGATGAGAGAGACGGGTGTGAAGGTGCAGTGATAAGCACATCCCTCTTAAGCTGTCGCCCACCTGCCTGAAAATGTGCCTGCTCTATGCACACTGCTCTTGAAAACTCGGCAAAAGCTGCCAATGCAAACTTCCTTCCTTGGGCCTGACTTCATCTATGGGGCGTGGAGGGGGCCACTGGGGAGGGCAGGGGCCAAGCAACAGCAGTGGGAGGGGGCTTTAGCTCAATGGTGGGCGGCCACCTGTTCCTCCTATTCTTGCCACGCTCACAAGGGGGAGATGAGACAGGGCCTTTTCAAGGCTAACTGGGAAGACACAGCGGGCCCTCTGGGGGTGTCACCAAAATCTCTCCTCCCTCCCTCTCACTTCCAACACTCAGCCTAGAACCACAGAATTCTGGCCTCACCTCCAAAAGAGCATTGGAGGGGCTTTGAAAAATGGCGGACGAGGTGGAGCAGCAACAAACCACAAATACTGTAGAAGAGCCCTTGGATCTCATCAAGCTTAGTCTTGATGAACGAATTGATGTAAAAATGAGAAATGACCGAAAACTTCGAAGCAGATTATTTCCTTGTTACCAGCACTTAAATAAGATTTTGGGTGATGTTGAGGAGACTGTGACAACAATAGAAATGGATGAAGAAACCTATGAAGAGATTTATAAATCTACCAAAAGGAATACAGTGGTACCTCGGGTTAAGTACTTAATTCGTTCCGGAGGTCCGCTCTTAACCTGAAACTGTTCTTAACCTGAAGCACCACTTTAGCTAATGGGGCCTCCTGCTGTCGCCGCGCCGCCAGAGCACGATTTCTGTTCTCATCCTGAAGCAAAGTTCTTAACCCGAGGTACTATTTCTGGGTTAGCGGAGTCTGTAACCTGAAGCGTATGTAACCCGAGGTACCACTGTATTCCGATGCTGTTTGTCCGAGGAGATGGAGTTGTACTTGTAGCTCCTCCACTGTGGGTTGGCTGAAACCATGAAGAAAATGTTCATTGAATGTTGGAAGATTCAGGACAGAGAAAAGGAAGTAGTTCTTCATGCAGCGCATTATTAAGTTATATCGTGCAAGAGAGTGTGTTCAGAAAGGACTCATTCAGGTGTCCTACATGCCTGGAAATGAAATTCCTGTAGATCTGTTGTCTAAGGTTGTTAACAGAGAGCAACATAAGGTTTATGTACAAAGGTTGCAATTGTGTTGAATTACAGGTACCAGAGGCAACACAGAAAGCTTGTGAACCTGGGATTCGGCTGGCACCCTTTGCGCCTCCCCTACTCGCGGGGAAACCCTGTTTTGGGGATCCAGAGTGACGTGGGGTGAGTGGCGCGGTGCTTTGAATCGACTGCTTCTTTCACGGAGTGAAGCCACATTGCTGTGGCCGGAGAGCACTGACTTTTTCCTGTGGACAACTGGATTTTAAACAACTACTCGTGAGTAAAACGGAAAATTGGATTCTTAAATACTTTAATTCGGCACTGAAACGGGAAGGTTATAAACAGGAGGTCCGCCTCCCGTTTTTGTAAATAGACTGAAGCAAAGACGTTACAAGTTAAAGCCTTTGAAAGCTTTTGGCAAAGGATTAAATTTCCACCGGTTTAAAATACAAAACCCCCCTTGGAAGCAGGAGAAGAGGGGGAAATTTTGGATCTAGTGAGCCTGCAGGAGAGAGTGAAAAATCAAATTACCACTGCTCTGAACCTGGGAACGGGCTGCCAGATGACGTTTGGAGAGAGTGCATTTGACAGAACGGATTTGACAGCTAGCTAAATAAGAGTAAGATACTGTTTCCATTGTCCTTTTCTGTGTTTAAAAAAGAGGAAAAGTAACTGAAAATTTATCTTCAATGCTTGAGTTGTGCCTGAAAGAACTGATACAAGTGGAGACTGTTTCCCTCTAGAGGGAGCTTTTGAAACTGTTACAGGGAATGTAACTGGGGGATTTCCAGCTGCAGATAAGGATTCTGAGAACCAGAGAGAGACCTTGGACCATTTAAAAATGTGACTGTTTTATGTAAGATAAGCTGTTCGCTGGGACAGCTTCACAAGAAGATGGATGACATGACTTTTAAAGTTGATAATTTGGAACAGAAAGTGACCAATTTGAGTCAAAAAGCGAACACCAACACAGAAATAATTCAGGACTTGGTACAGGAACCCATTTTGGCAGGACAAATGGTGGAGGAGAAGGAGGAGAAGGAGAATGCTGCTGTTGTTGAACATAAAATAATACAAGTGAGATCTGTGGCTTTACAGAAGCAAATTGAGGACTATAAGTTGAGGCCTTTTATGATTGAATCTAGGAAAAGTCAGACTCAGAGGAATGGATCCCGGCTTGGATTAAAGAAGGAAAGTTGGAAAGAGGCCTCTATGCAGGGATTAACTGACTTTTGGGACATGGACTCGGACCTGGAGGAGATTGAAGTTTTGGGGGCCTTTGGACTTGGAGGAATCTTGAAATATGCCCTGAAATACTTTATGGACTGTAGCTTTAACTATGGAAATTTAGCTGATCTGTTCAGAAGAAAGAAAGAAAAGGATTGATAGGTTGGAGTTTCCCCGAGATTTGCTCTTTAGCATTAAAGAAAATTAAGAAGACCTGCAGAAGGGACTTGGAAAAGAGTTAAGAGCCTCGGACATAAGATCACCAGGTTGATGGACTTTATGGAGTTGACGGAAAGGACTGGCAGAATCCGAAACCTGGGAGAGGAGATGGTGGAAGAAGATTGGAAAATTTAAAGTTTATATATAGACTTATGGTAAAACTAATGAGTGATAGAAAAACGGTGGAATGATTTTTTTTTAATGGGCTTAGCAGAAATGTTATAAGGAGTTAAGCATATATAAGTATTTTAGTTTTAATGGAAAATAAGGTTAAAAAATACGTTATTTACAATATCACAGAAAATGGAGAAAGATGGAAAGGATTTGCTGAAACAATTAATAGAAGTGGAATACAAAAAGGGAAGTGAGAGGAGGTCGAGGAAACAAGGGAATGAAAGATAGAGTATGGAAAAGAGATGATGTATGTTTTTAAATTGTTTTTGTTTTGTTTCATTTAGGGTTAAGGTTAGGGAGTGGGGTTTGTTTAGTTTAGTTTAATGTGTTTAGTTTTGAGTTTAGGTTGTGTTTTGTATTGTCTATATATTGTATTGTATTGTTTTTTTCTTTTTGCTTTTCTCCTTTGGTTTTTTTTCCTGTTTTTTCTTTCTTGTTTTTCCCCCTCTTTTTGTAATCTATAAAAGTAATAAATATTGGGTTTTTTTAAAGAAAAAGGAATTTCATTTCCTGGCATGTAGGACACCTGAATGAGTCCTTTCTGAATACACTCTCTTGCACAATGTAGCTTAATCTGCAAGTACTTGGTTCTTTGCTTGCAACTCTCTGAGTTCAGCAAAGCCAAACAGGATCTATTGTCTTGATACACTTGTATAGGACATTTCACAGAAACTCTGATGTCCTTAAACAGTTGCATCAACCATTCACAATCCATGAGTGAAAATGACAGAGCATTGAGTTCTGCTTCACAGGAACTTAGGCTTACTGTCGTCTGCTTCTTGCACAACCAGTCAAACAGACAGTGGTTGTACATGTAGCATACTCCAGAAGTGCTTGTACCATCCGTGGTGTCACTTCCAAAACTAGCATCTGCAAAGATTTCAAGACCTCCAGTCTTCTGACTGGTGAACCTCAGCCTGTAGTGCAAAGTCCCTTTCAAATTGCGGGCTATGCGCTTCAGAGCTTTCCAATCCTGAACAGTAGGATTGTTGGCATGTCTGCTAAGCAGGTTAGTGCTTACAGCTATGTCAGGTCTTGAGCATCTAGCAATGAAATTCAACTTGCCTAGAATGCATCTGTACAGCGAAGTGTCAGAAAACGCTTCAGCAGTACTATCTATCTACCTGGTAACCTGTCACCATCGGTGTGTCTGCTGGGTTTGCATCAACCAAATTCAACCTGGTTAATACATCAGCAATTTTCTGTGTTTGATGTACCAGAAAATTACCTACTTGGTCCCTCTCCACCTGCAGAGAAAGATAGTTGGATACCTCACCAAGATCCTTCATGTCAAAGTACTCCTTCAGCTGAGCGAGGGTGCTTTGGTACAAAGCCTGATTCTTC